AGAGCGGTTTCTGTCAGAGCTCTCTCAGCCCCACCGGCCTCACTGGGTGTCTGTTGTGGGGAGGGGAAGGGAAAGGAGTTTGTAAGACGCTCTGAGACTCCCGAGTGAAGGGCAGGGTATAAATCCAGTCTCTTCTCTTCTTCTTGTAGTTGTGAGCTCAGATAAGTTCACCTGGTCAGTCTGATTGCATCAGGTTTTCCTTTTGTCTTTGACAGTTAACGCGGTTACCAGAATATCCGATTTGTTCTCTTTTAATTGGGATTCAGAGTTAAGTTTGGCGTTCTGATCTTGCTTGAAGAGATATATCTTTAGATGCGCCTCTTGGTTATCTCACCGTTCGTTAGGAGCGAAATGTGGAAAGTGTGTGGTTTGTTTAGGAACAGGATTTGGGGGGAGTAGGGCATGACACACAAATTCGGTGGTCGTTTCCGGAGAGTAGCCAAGTTGGTCTGCTGTAGGAGAGCAAGACTGGAGTCTGCTGGCACCTTCGAGACCAACGAAACGTTTGGGCCACGAGCTTTTGACTCTCGAAAACCCGTACCCCGAAAATCTCGTTGGTCTCTTAAGTTGCCACTGGAATCGAATATAACAAATTGGAAGGTGCTGCGGTGGCTCAAGTGGTTAAGACGCTGAACTGCAGGCTGTGGAAGGTCGGTAGTTCAGCAGTTCGAGACCCGAGTGTGCCGCATGACGGAGTGAGTTCCTGTCTCTAGTTCCAGCTCCTGCCAGCCTAGCAGTTCGAAAGCAAGAAATTGCAAGTAGATAAATAGGTACCACTTCAGTGGGAAGGTAACAGCGTTCCGTGGGCCTCGGTGTTTAGTCATGCCGGCCACATGACCACGGAAACATCTTCGGACAGCGCTGGCTCTCCGGCTTTGAAACGGAGATGAGCACTGCAACCCTAGAGTCGGATTCGACTGACTTTCGAGCAAGGGAACCTTTACCTTTACCCTTTTTTGCAAGATAATGCCTCCCCAGAGCAGCTGGCTCTCGCCGGTTTGACCCGCATCTTCCCACACCCAAAACAGGGACAGCCTTCTCCTGGAGACGGGCTTCTTGGCCGTTCTGGTGGCGCCCCTCCACCTGCTGAAGTGGCGCTCAACGGCCTGGCGGGCACACGACGGGGTGACCTTCTGGCTGGTGCGCTGGCTGCTCTTCCGCCTCATGTTCGCCTCGGGGGTCGTGAAGCTGACCAGCCGCTGCCCCACTTGGTGGGGGCTCACAGGTGAGTGGGGGCTGCGGGGGGGAGGCTGCACCCTGAACTTGTGGGCCAGGGCCGTAAGGAGAGGAAAGGGGCAAGGGGTCGTTGTGGCAGGGAACAGTGAGGCAACAGAGCTTTGGATCTGTTATGTGCCGTCAAGTCCCTTCCAACTTATGGCGACCCCATGCATTTGTTATTGCTGTTTTGTTGCTGTTTTGGTTTTTTTGCTGTTGTTATTATTATTATATTTTCTTAAATTTCTTAATTAGCCAATCCCTGCTACTGCATGGCTCCGGGCGATGTACAATATCAATACAAACATACACTAAATAAAACAAAATCGAACCGCACGTTTTAAAACAGATGGCGAACATTTTAATCCCATTTCAGACTGCCGGCCGCTTCACGGGCAGGGGGGAAGGGGTAAGAGAGATGTAGCGAGTGGAAGAGCTGTCATGTAGAAGACGGAGTATTCTCTCTTGCTCCGGATTGCAAGACTAGATCTAATGGGTGGGAATGACAAGGGAGTCGTTACTGGCTAAATATCAGGAGAAACTTCCTAACTGTCAGTGGACCAGTCTGCCTTGGGAGGTGGTGGATGCTCCTTCGCTGGACGTTTTCAAGCGGAGGCTGGACGACCATCTTCCGGGTATGCTGTAGGGCTATCTTTCGGCTGTGCTCCTGCAGAGTGCAGGGGGTTGGACTAGATGACCTGTAGGGTCCCTTCCAACTCCAGCGTTCTATGAAGAGGCTGCACACACCGTACTTCATTGCCCCCACTATAGGGAGATTCGATCTCATTTTATTATTCCACTTCCAGAGGGTGAGAGCTGGCATTCTGATGACTCAATCGTTCACTTTCTTCTGTTTAATTCTAATTGCGAAACAGTGGAGACTGTTGCAGGATTTTTATATTATGCAATCAGAAGACGAGGCTTGAATAGCCAAGTGTAAGTGACTGATGCATCTTAGTATTTTGCTGATTTTCCATGAGGTCTTGTGCTTTCTGTGCCAATAAAGGTTTTGTGTATGTGTGTGTGTGTGTGCCTCCGGCTCACACATTTCTGTCTCAGCTCAGGAAGGAGGGCTCCAGAGCAAACTGATTTTATGCAGCGGCCAAATCGCTCGCTCACAGCTTTAATGCCAGGAGCTCACAAAGTAGAATTTTTGCTGACCAGACTCCACAGCTTAGAGGGAGCATTGCCCACGAGTAGAGATGTGAAGGCCCGGAAAAATTCGGAAAAAAAACCAGTTTTTTCCCGTTTTTTTCCTGAAGCCTTTTTTGTTATTTTCCGAAAAATTGGAAAAATTGAAAAAATAAAATAAAATAAATTGATTATGGAACGTTTTATTTTAACATGATGAATAAAATATTTTAAGACAAGGTGTTCAAATATTTTCCAAATCATTTCTAATATATATATATATGACATCAGATTGATCTAATTTCTGTGCACTGAGGACAAGCAAGTCCTAGGTTACAAACTGAACTCTCCAATGCAAGAACAAGATGCATTTCTTTCTTTAGGAGGTGCTATTGTCAGAAGAAAATAAAAAGGTTTCAGGTTTGTTTTTGCATGTGGGTGGGTGTGGGTATTCTGTTTGTAATAATTGTTTGGATACACTATATTTTTAATAGGCTAGTTGTGATAATTTCATGCCAAGTAAAAATGTCCATAGTCATATTTTATGTTCCTAAAGTAACAGAATGACTTTCAATCTAGAAAAGACAAAATAAATGCTAATGTAGCATTTTTTTCAATTTTTCC